AAATGAACACAGGAGAAGAACCAGGATAGAGTCTATCACTGGACATATTCACAGAAATGTAGCCAGTAGCCTACCAGACAGTAGTAATAAGAAGCTTAAACTATAGCAAGGGATGGTGAAAGGAAAACTCTAGGATAACAGCAAGATCCGAGCTGCCATCTGGCACCTTTGCTGGCTTCAGAGCTGGACAAAGGCGCGTCTTCCAAAGCTGTGCATTCAAGGGCAGAAGGGTAGAAATTGAAGATGCTCCTGTGCCAAGTGGAAAGACAAAGCAAGCCCTTCACATTCAAGCCCATGGGTTTAGAACAGTGAGTGGGAGTACCAGTGTTGTGGGTGCAGAGCGATAAGCCACCTGGGGTCAGAGTGCAGGTGTGAGTCCTGGCTGCTCTGATTCTAATCCAGCTCCCTGCTAATGCGCCTGAGAAAGCAGCAAATGAAGGTACAACACTTTGGGCCCCTGTCATCCACATGGGACACTTGGATGGAGTTCCTGGATCATTGCATCAGCTTGGCCCAGCCCCAGCTATTGGGGGCATTGGGGAGGGGAGTGAACTGGCTGATGGAATATCCGTGTGTGTGTATGTGTGTGTGTGTGTCCCTCTCTCTCCGTCACTCTTTCAAATAAATAAATAGATCTTTAAAAAAAAAAAGAGAGAAACCATTTAAAAAATAGCCTTTAAAACCTGTACAAAATTATCTCCTGTTGATGGCCATTCCTCATCTGGGATAACTGGGAGGGGGAGATGTCGCTCCCCCTCTTCGTGGAAGAGCAACACAGGACCCTGCGCTGTTCTTTCATCTGCTCGGCCCTCCCCGGGTTTGCTGCTGGTTCTTCCCGGGTTGGCTACTATCCCTTCCACCTCCGTGGAAGGGCGGTTCCCCCTGGCCGCTTTCCCCACTTCCGCAGGGGAGCGGCACACCGCCGGCCGGCTCTTCTCGGGGGCTGCACAGGTGTTCCTTCAGCTAGATGTTCCCCTTAGATGTTCCTGGTGCATGCCGTCTCTCTCCTCCTTTATAGTCCTCCTCCGCCAATCCCAACTCGGCTGCCCACACGCCGAGTACGCTGCTCTCCTCCAATCAGGAGCAAGTCCTACAGTTTATTAGTTGAACTGGAGGCAGCTGTGCGGAAGCTGTTTACTTCTCTCCCAGCGCCATATTGTGGGAGAGCAGATGCATAGAATAAGTCTTAATTCCAGTAACTCAGTCTAGTCCGGTTGCTCCCCACAGGGAGAGATGGGAGCATCTCCCCTTTAGAAGCTCAGGACTAAGTCCCAGGGTTCTGCTGCTATCTGGATGTGGTTTGTGCCACAAAGACGCTCGTGCTGATAGTTTAGTCCCCAGTTCAGCAGCTGAAGTCCAGTAAAACCATGATTAGCTCATGCGGGTTCCACCTTCGTGGGTGGATTGATGCTTCTCATGGGAGTGAATCAGGCCTCACTGGACTATGAGACTTCTCACAGGGCAGGCTGTTATAACGCAAGGCCATCCCCCACCTTGGCCCTTTCTGCATGCAGCCAATTCCCTTCCTGTTTCTCTGTCACGTTGTGACGCATTTAGGACATGCTCTGACTATTTGGGACACTGGCGCCATGCTGGACTCTTGCTCACCCAAATATGAGTCAAATTAAATCTCTTTATCAAGTACCCAGTCTCAGATATTTCACTAAAGCAATTGAAAAACAGACCGAGGCAGTGTGGCTCTTTAACTAACCACAGGTCAGCCATTCCCCCAAATATGAACTCTTTCCCAATAATCAAACTAAAGTGACTGAGGTTGAAAATACTCTTGGATGCATTGTGTGCCAACTACGAGCTAGGTGCTGGGTAAGCAAAGTGAACAATATGAACGCTTATGCCAGGGAGCTACCTGTTCAGAACTGTGCCGTCAGCATTCTGTTCACAGGCACACAGCAAAACAGAATGAGGAGAGGGAATGAAGTGCAGGGTCCTACAGACCAAGCTCACTAAGCGGGTGTACCCAGGTTTAATTAACGGAGATCGCCTGTGCAGAGAGGCAATGCTGGTCGCAGGTAAGTCCTTTGAAATGGACTTGCCCTGCCTGTAACTGCACGGTCATCTTAAGAGGTTCATGGGCCCTACCATAATAAACATTGGCTTCTAATCTGAATGTTTCCACCACGGACTTAAACAGTGGACAGTTGAGATAAACTGTGCAACACCAGACGAGGGTAGAAAGCTAGGAGCGCCTGTGGGTGAGCTAGCAACCTCCCTGCTCTTCCACTCTGTCTCCAGGATCAGGGAGCAAGCATAGAATGAGAACCTCCTTCCCTTGAGATGCTTATGTAGACAAGAATCTGTAACAGCTCCTCTGAGCCTCGGCCACGGGCCTCTTCCACGGTGACTACAGCCCCAGCCAAGCGAAGGCCTGGTTCAGCCCACTGAGGCTGAGAAAGCAAGATCTTCATATTGCCTGGTTATTTCAGGAACGAGAGTATAATAGTGTTTTTTTTTTTTTAACATATTCTTCCTTTTTATAGACACATGTTTTCAGTAGGAATCTCAGCTCTAATAGCATTTAAAATACATTAACTTACATTAATTTTTAAACACCACTTTTGATGCAGTTTCATTTGCACTCGATGTATGTGGCACCTCTTAATTTCTAGATTCCCCAGAGAGAATTAATTCAGCATCTGACTTGTGAAACAATAACCTCAGATCAGGCCCATTTTGATCAAGTCACGCCCCAGATGGATGAGTTGCTAAAAGTAGGAAAAACGAGCGATTCTAAAGGACGTGAGCCTCTGAGACAAAACCCCTAAAAGCTCCTTTATTTATGTTTTTGAGTGAGGGAGCAAAACATACTATAGTAGTTACTGCTGCACAAGTCGTTGCTGGCTCTGGGACAAGGCTAAACAAGCTCCTTAGACTCCATTAAGGATATGCTCAGGCTGTACGCAGTGTAGGTGCCTTAGTGGTAGTCAACCCAAATTATTCAAATAAAATACCGTTGCAGCCTTAGCACTGGGCTTTCAACATCCAATACAAGAGGTTCTCAAAAACTCTTCATAAACACATTTTAGGAAAAAACTAGGCACGAGTTTCAAAAATGTTTTGCACCAAAACAAACTAATCTGTTCATTCCACTTTTCCACAATGTTTTGAAGGACCGTCATATAGTCTCTCCTCTGGAACACAACGCCTACCCTTTTCTTTCTCCATTGCTATACTTCAGAAAACAGATAGACCTGTATTGTCTTCTTAAACCAAGAACTGGAAGGGCTTCCTCAATTTTGCTCCAAAGATTCCCCAAAACTTTTACTGAGCCCCCCGAAAGACCTCAACATAGTCCTTTCTTTAGGGGCCCCCAGAATAAAGGAGTTCAACTCAAGCTTTGAAGACAGGCTTATTCACCGCTGGAATCTGGTACTCTCTGATAAACTCTTTGCTGACAGGCATTCCACTCCAAGTGCCTCCAGGAAAAGTAACCACCGAGCTGGTCAAGAGAAGCAGGATGACAAGGAAGGTAGCCAATATGGGCAGCACAGCAGCCTAGCTCTGGCCTGCACACCAGCTGAGACACCTTGAAAGATCTCCACGAAGCAATGGGTGAGTCTGGCTTGTAATGCCCTGCCTAGCTGGGCTCACACTCAGAGGGAGCCCTGAGGGCCCAGATATACCACGTGGGACAGTGACTCTCCAAGAATGCGTGGGCCATCGCAGCACCAGCATCCCCGGAAACTGCAAGAAGTGCCAGTTCTCAGGTTCATTCAGATCTACTAAGTCACAAACTTGAGCGCTGGTACAGCAAGCCCCACTCCCAACCAGTTTCACAGGAGCCCGGCCGGACAGCCATCACTCCAGAGGACTTAAAATCATCACACCCTCGTTCCTCTTCTAAGCCTTCCTGACTATTGGCAAAGGGAAGACCGTCTCTCCTCCAACAGGATGGTCGAGAATCAGCTGTCTAAACGGGAGACAGGGGGATGATTTCAGAATTTCTTTTCCTTAAGCCTTGGTTTATCACTATTTTTCCATGTTCATTTCTAGTTTAGGAAACTTGGTCCCAGGCACCAACGAAGGGAGAGAGACAAGGTCATCACCAGATCTCATCTACCCGATAATCCAAGGTATGCTGAACAACCTACTGTCGCTTATACATTCTCTTCAATAAGCAAGCAACACAACAGTAACATTAATAAGCCACACAGATGTTTCTGTTAAAAAAGAAAAACACCAGAATTGCTCTGACACACCTCTGTCACCACTAATCTTCTCCTGGTTTTCCCACTATGTCATGTAGAAATGGTCCAATGAAACAAAGCAATAATCTATTAGCCTAAACATGGGATCTCACTTGGAAGCAAGTGCTAATCAGTGAGGTTGTTTACTTCCCAGACAAGAACACTTATCCAAGTTTCTTCTCCCCAAATTAATTTTCAGTCCTCTAAGAATGACACAAATGATCTGCTCTTGGTCCCTCATTTTTTAACCCAGCATTGAGAATCAATGTTTCCACTTCGGCAAAGAGTCTTTCACACACACAACTTCAACAACCCACCGATAGCTATTATGTTGCTTTGCAGCTCTACTGTTTTAAGTTCGGAAAGTGGGGACCCTGGAAAAGCAGCGGCAACACCAAAAGCATACAGCTAAAGACGGAAAAATCAAATGCACAGCATACAATACACCTGCCCACCCCACCCTACAGCTACTGTCCTTTGCCAACCTTTCTGAATCCAAAGGGAAAACACAGCACCGAAGCTTGCCTGCGTCGCCCTTAGTCACTGGATATTCAAGGAACCGGTTCTGCGTCTTTGGGGACAGCTGTCCTCATTGAAAAGTGGGCAGTGCTGAGTAACCCACATTATTTTCTCCCTCTTGATAGGATGTATCTTATCCTTGTTGCTATTTTTTTTTCAACCTTGAAGCCCAATCCTTGGACATTTAGCCACTTCCTTCTGTAGTAGTAATTAGCATTAGTCATAAGCCAAAAATGATCTCAACTAAGGAGTAAAGTCAAACACAAGCCTTCTTACCTTTCATGCCAAACTTGGAGTGTCTTGCCAACTTTAGTAGAAACAGCATCACCAGCAGGCAAAATCCCACCACAGACGCAATTACCACCACAGCGTACACCTGGGGCAGGGAAAGAGAGGGCGGTTAGGAACCTGCCGACGCTGCCCTAGAGGCAAACGATGTTGATGACGGTGGCAGTTCACATTTGCCAAATGCTCACTCCTTGCTTCTCTAAGCGCATTCTCTACATCAATTCGCTCAGTCTTCCACAGCCCTCTGATGAAGGATCCTATGACTATGCCTGCTTTACAAATGAGAAAACAGAAGTCCCAGCCCTAAAAACGGGTATCTGATGGATTTCATATAGATGGAGATACTACACATATACAAGTATGAGATACTTCAAGGAGTTCACGGGAAATGAGATGAAGAGGTAAGTTCACTTTGATGCCCAAAACTTCTGCAATCCATGCTTGCCAAGGATCTTCACAAAGCTCGTGGAATGCATACTGTGAAAAACTTATCTTCAACCTCAAAAGCTTAGCTTTTAAGACCGTTTTCCATGATACTGCTACTTTTGAGCTGCTGGAGGGCATGTGTGCTCATTTGACTATTCTACTTCTGTGCATGTCTGGAAACTGTCCATAATAAAATAAAAAGTTTTATTTTAAGTTAGTACCACCACTCTTAGAAGTCAGGGTACCCTGGAACTGGTAGTTGGACTGGAAGAATTCAGCATGTGAGACCTCCTTGGGTTGTAACTTAAAACCTGTGCCCTTTTCTCTAGGTATGCTATAGGCTACCAAAAAAAGGTTTCTTCAAGTTTAAAAATGTCATTGCGAGGTGTGCAGGATATAAATGGAGACAGGGCAGACAACAGGTATAATGTGAATCTTGTCACAACGTTGAGATGGAGGTGACAGAGGTACAAATAGACGTAGCTCACACTGCTACCATCCCCTACTGCGCAAGGCATGACACCACCCTGAGCACACCTCAACATACTAGAAACAAAGATGTAGGCAGCACTGTGTATCTCCCTCGAGTCTTGCTCAACCCAAGGTCCTGCTTCCAAAAGAAATTCCATTCTCTAAGCTAGGTGCCGTGGGGACAGGGTGCGTCTCCTGGTGGCTTGGTTCCCAGCGTGACAGCATTGAAAGGTCATGAGGCTTTAAGAGGCAAGGCTAGTGGGAGGTCATAGGATCAGGACCGCCCTTGTGAAGGAATTTAAGCTGGTCTTGAGGAATGAGTTGCCTCTCAAAGGAAGGGACAAGTTCCTGAAAGAGCAGGTTGTTGTAAAACAGCAAGCCTGGCCCCTTCCACTCCTCTGCTTCTTCCCTTTCGCTCACGTGTTCACTTTCTCTCCCTCCACCATCATGAATCCCTCTCCATGGATACTGATGCTGACATCATGTTCTTGAATCTCCAGAACTGTCAGCTAAAAAAAAATCTTTTCTTTATAAAGTACCCAGCTTCTGGTATTCTGCCATAGCTACCCAAGTTGGACTAAGACAACAGGACCTGGCAAACACTTGCTACAAGTGATCAGACAGCAACTATTTAGATTTTGCCAGACATAAAGTCTCTGCTACTCTGCCACTGCAGTGTGAAGTCAGCCACGGACTACATGGAAACAGGTGTGCACAGCTGAATTGCAATAAAACTTTATTACCAAAACAGACAGGTAGTCGGATTTGGTCATAAATTGTCTTAGATGTCCAAAGTAATTTATGTTTTATATTCATTGTTTCACTTTATCAGAATAATAATCTTTAAGGTGAATATTAGTATTCCCATCTATGTTCACTGTTAGCACTGTTCCCCAAGTATTTCTATTTTTTCCTGTGTTTCTCTTTGGGGGAAGAATGTCCCAGCTTGCTTGCGACTAGCTGAGTTCATGTGACTAGCTGGGTTGATGTACTAGTTGAGACCTGGGTTACCACCAGGATAGAAAATTTCATTGCTAGTCTAAGATCTTCGTCTAAGGCAATGGTTCTCAACCAAGGATGACAATGCCACTCAAGGGACATTTGGCAGTTCTGAGTTGTCCCACCCAGGGGTATGATACTACCAGCATTGAGTGGATGGAGGCCAGGAATACTGATAAACTTCTTTCTGTGACCAAAAAATTACTCATCTCCAAATGCCAGTGAGGCCAGCACTGAGAAACTGTGCCCCGGCCCACTCTAGAGCTCTTGGCCATTCTGCCACAATGCATGCTAACTTTCCAGAATCTGTCTGCTTTGCAGCCTACTCCCAGAACAAGGAGAGCTGAGCGGGGGTACAGGCCATTACACGCAGTGAAGCTGGAAAGAAACCTTTGTTGTTTGGAGCCACGGCGACCTGGGGGTTTGTGCTGCTACAGCATAGATTAACCTCTTGCTATCCCATCTCATACCGAGAGACACTACCCAGTGGAGACCAAGAACACAGGTTCCTTCTGAATACAACATTTCAATTTACCACTTATTAGCTGTATAACGTCAGAATCACTTAACCTCTCTGCATCTCATAAGCCTTGTGTGTGTAACATGGAAAACATAATTAATTCCACCTGCTACATTCTGGTAAACCCTCAATGAGTCACGCAGGTAATGAGCTTAGAACAGTGTATGTAACAACAGTTAATAAACTGATGAGGAAGAGGAGGAGGAGGATAAAGCTCAAATTTAGGAAAAAAACAGGCCAGAATCACGTCTCAAGCTTGTTTTCTTGTTTTTTGTTTTCTTTTTTTCTGAAAGGCAGAGGGACATAGAGAGATATCTTCCATCTGCTGGTTCACACCTCAAATATGTGCAACATACAAGACTGGGCCAGGCTGAAGCCAGGAGCCAGGAACTCACAAGTCCCCCATGAGAGTGAAAGGTATCCAAGCACTTGAGCTGTCACTTGCTGCCTCCCATGGCGTGCATTAGCAGGAAACTGGAATCGGAAGTGAAGACAGGACTCAAACTGAGGCATTTGGGATGCCAGCGTCCCAAGCAACAGCTGAACTGCTTGTGCCAGACGCCTGCCCTTCAAGTTCAGGAGCTGAACCCATTACACAGCCTCTCATGATTGAGAATGAAAGTAGGGAAACACACACACATGGCTAATCCTCCCATCGTCTGGGATGTCAGATGAGGACAGCACAGAGTCGTAGCAAAGCACCAAAAAAGCCAGAGCAGAGCCGTGGTGTCAAGGTTCACTTCTCCAAGTCGTTAGCTCTGAGCAACTTTCCCAGAAAATGCTCTGCATGATACGAGTTGAGGCTTTACCCTGTCTCCTTAGCCTTGTGCACACAGAACGATAGCGAGAACTGCAAGGCAAACTGTGCATGAACCTGGTCTAATCAAAACCGCGTCCCTCAAATTTATCAATTTGGTTAAGATTTTTCTAAAAAACCTTTATCTCTAAATTTTTTTCAGGAGGAAAGAGATCACAGTATTTTAGCTGTAAGTTTCTCTATGTTATTATTAAAATCCTCTCTTTAACATAAGAGAAATACCTAAATGAACAAGTTCAAATTCCATTTTCTAGATAAGAAGAGTGAGAAGGAGCAGGGTTAGAGGACCTTCTCTGAGGCCACGGTACCATCCTCCCCGACTCTGGAAAGCCCTGGGCTGGGAACCTGACCCAGCAGCTCTTGGGTCCTCTTTACCGGCTAGGAGAGTGGACACAGACCCTGCACTTCTCCACGTGTCCATTTCCTCCTCGGATAGTAACGCAAGCCCTGCCTTCCCCTTGTGGTGCAAGTTGACCTGGGAATGGGGAGGGGGCTTCCTGCTTGGGAATCAGCTGATGGCCTGCAAACAAGTCACTCTAACTTCACAGCCTTGGGAGGTGGATGTAGTGGCACGGAGGGCTAAGCCCCTGCTTGGGACACTCACATCCTGTATCAGAGTGCCAGTTTGAATCCCAGCTACTCCATTTCCCATTCAGCTTCCTGCTAAATGCATCCTGGGAGGGAAGGATGATGGCTCAAGTATTTGAGTCCCTGCCACGTATGTGGGAGACCGGGATGAGTCCTGGCTTGAGCCTGCCTCAGCCCTTGCGGAATAAACCAGCAAATGGTAAATCAAACTCTCTCTCTCTCTCTCTCTTCCAAGTAGATGAAAATAAATAAGCAAATAAATATTTAAATTGAAATCCTTTAACAAGAAAGGATTGCTGTGACAATCAGGTGCAGCACATCCTCGAAACGGAGTGTTCACGAAGTAGTTTCCTCCACTGCGTGAGAGCTGGGATGCAGATGTCATTACACAGGAGGCAAGCACAGTCAACCTGGTTGTTTGGTTGTGTGGCAGATTTTCAGCTGAGGACATGACCTTAGGCTAGAACAAGGGGATATTTCCATCCCCCACGAAGCCAGCAAGGTGTGTGAGGAGCACCTGTTTGGCCAGAATGTTTTCCAGATGCCTTGGTAACACCCTTAACTTCTGAGCCAGCTCTCTGACTCCTACATTCTTCTAACCAAATAGTCCTCTCTGTGAGCAGGAACTGTTTATAAATGAAACACATGACATATGACATACATACATATGACACACATAACTGATATGTTTAGATCCTATAAAACTTGCCCTTGCAGATTTCTAGAGACCTCACAGTGCAATACACAGATATTCAACAAAGACAATTTTTGCCATTTGTGCCTCCCAATGACCGTGCTACAACATGTTTCAAACTTCACTGAGGGGCCGGCGCTGTGGCGCAGCAGGTTAACACTCTGGCCTGAAGCACTGGCATCCCATATGGGGGCTGGTTCGAGTCCCAGTGGCTCCACTTCCGATCTAGCTCTCTGCTATGGCCTGGGAAAGCAGTAGAAGATGGTCCAAGTCCTTGGGCCCCTGCACCCACATGGGAGACCTGAAAGAAGCTCCTGGCTCCTGGCTCCTGGTTTCAGAGTGGCCCAGCTCTGGCCTTTGTGGCCATCTGGGGAGTGAACCATCGGATGGAAGACCTCTCTCTCTCTCTCTCTCTCTCTCTCTCTCTGTGTGTGTGTGTAACTCTAACTTTCAAATAAATAAATCTTAAATAAAAAAAAAAAAAACACTTCACTGAGATGTGTCAACCAGGAGCTTGCATTTGGATTTAGAAAGAGAAAATGAGATTTTGATTTAGGAAGAGAAAACAAAAGTTTTAATAACCGAGTTCTATACACACCTGAAGATTTTCTCTTACTAGAAAATATTAAGTGGCAGGACAAGTGACTAAACCTTGGAGTGATGATGTGAGGCTGGAAGAAGCAACCCTTCTCCTGTTGATCGGCCAAGAAATCTGTTCTCGCTCCCTCAGTGCAATGCATGTGCACACTTCCTGTGCCAGTGCACGTGCTCGGATGCATCTTCCGAGTGGCAACTGCCCTGCGTCTATGTACTGTGGGCCTCCCATTCCCACTCTCCTGGCCTTGGATCAAGCATTCATCACCTCTGTTACTCCATCAAGGCCTAAGTAGGCATTTCACTTCCAGGCTGACTTCCATAACTCATCATGAATCAGTTTGCACACTTTTTTTGCGTGTCAGGCAATGTTCTTAGGAGGTGGGGATACACAGGTGTGAGAAACAACTGTTAGTATAGAGCCACCCCTTATACACAGGGGACATATTCCAAGACCCTCAGTGGATTGCTGAAACTGTAGATGGTCTCAAACCCTATAAGTATGTATAGTGCTTTTTCCCCTATACATACGTATTTACCTATGATCAAGTTTAACTTATAAATTAGGCACAGGAAGAAATGAACAACAGTGACTGATGATAGCATAGAACAATTATGGCCGGCGCCGCAGCTCACTAGGCCTCTGCCTGCGGTGCCCATACCGTGGGTTCTAGTCCCGGTTGGGGCACCAGATTCTGTCCCGGTTGCCCCTCTTCCACTCCAGCTCTCTGCTGTGGCCCAGGAAGGCAGTGGAGGATGGCCCAAGTACTTGGGCACTGCACCCGCATGGGAGACCAGGAGGAAGCACCTGGCTTCTGGCTTCGGATTGGCGCAGCGCGCCAGCCATAGTGGCCATTTGGGGGGTTAACCAGCAGAGGGAAGACCTTTCTCTCTCTCTGTCTCTGTCTCTGTTTCTCTCACCGTCTAATTCTGCCTGTAAAAAAAAAAAAAAAAAAAAAAAAAAAAAAAAAAAAAAAGAAGAAGAAGAAGAATAGAACAATTATAGCAATATATGATCATAGCTGTTTGGGCTTTGGGGAAATTAAAGGGTCACCTTTACAAGTTACAAGTACTGCAATACCTTGACAGTAGACCTGATGACCGCAATGCCTACTAAGTGCCTAACGGGTGAGTAGCTTATACAGTGTGGATACGCTGAACGAAAGGATGGTTTGTGTCCCAAGGGGGACAGAGCAGGCAGCTCAGGCTTTCCTCACACATTTCAGAAGGACATACAACTAAAAGTCACGATTCACTTCTCTCCAGAGTCTTTCATTTAATATTTTCAGACCACGGTTGACTCCAGCAACTGAAACTGTGAGAAAAGCAAAACTGCAGATGACAAGAGGGACCACAGAGCTAAGAATCCGACTAAGGAATCCGGGGAAGGGAAAGATGACGTGGCAAACAAGGTCATCCTAGGCGATGACACTGCTCAGAAGAAAATGAAAGAGAGCCCTGGCGGTGCCTCTGACAGCTGCCTGCATGTGCCTTCCCCGAGCCAGGTGTCCCAGCCGCAAGCTCTTGCTCACATACATCCCACGTGTCCTCCCCTTCCATCCCCAGGTGTGCAAACAGACCCGCACAGGCCATGCAAAATGCCACCTGTCCCACAGAGGCTCCCAGCTGGGAAAAAAACGGAACACCAGTCCCTCCATTTCTATCTCCAGGATTGCATTGCTCTACGTATGTATTTAGTGCTATTATTCACCTCTAGGGTCTAAATAACAGACCTGAGTTTCATTCAGATGTTTACAATCTCCCTCCAGTCCCTTCCAGACGATACTGGAGTTGGGGGGCACTCACACTTTTTATTAAAAATGTATGGAGATAGATATGAAGGTGTAGTCCCTGAAGGAGGAAACTGGCTTGTGACTGTTCTAGCCATCACCTTGTAAAGGACAAACATCTGAAATGGAAATCACTAACAATTAAAGTGGTGAACAAAGGGAGAAGTAAATCATCAGACTACCCAGCACCTTTATCACTTTCCTTAAGCCTTTCAATTAATCCCTCCAACCTATAGTACCCTATTTACATAGGAACAATAAAAATGTCTTATTGATGGATTGGGTATTTAGCCTAGTGACTCAAATGCCTGCATCCCCAATCAGAGCACTTGGGTTTGACTCCCAGCTCCAGCTCCTGAATCCAGCTTCCTGCTAACATGTAGACTCCAGGAAGAAGTGGGGATGGCTCAAGTAATTGGGTTTCTGACATCCATGTGGGATATCTGGATTGAGTTCCTGGCTGCCAGCTTCTGCCCCAGCCCAGTGCTGTCCATAATGGGCATTTGAGAAGTGAATCATCAGGTGGAAAAGCTGTCTCTCTATCATCTCCATGTCCATCTCCATGTCCATCTCCATGTCCATGTCCATGTCCATCTCCATCTATCTTTATCTCTGTCTCTATTTCTGTCTCTATCTTTATCTCTATCTCTGTGCCTATCCCTACCTCTGCCTCTATCCCTATCCCTATCTCCATCTCCATCTATATCTCTATCTATTCTCTATCATCTCACTATCTGTGTATCTCATTGCCTCTCAACTAAGCACAAACACAAATTCAAAATGTCAGGTTGAAGCATCTGCATTCCTCCAACACACCAACATCCAGAATGCTCACAGCCAGTCCAGGAAATGCCTGTTTATCCCACTCACCGAGAGATGTTCTCGACCTGCATTGTCAGCAGCGCCTGTGGGAGGGATTTCATTACTTCTGTTCGTGGTATCCCCAATATCATTCGCTGCAGTCCCATAATCTTGAATAGATGAAAGGAAAGAGACAAGGAACATGAAGTTGTCATCAGGCTGCCAACAACCATGAGGCCACACTAAGACCCAGCATGAAACGAGACCAATCACAAAGATTCCAAACCACTGACAGCACGGCCATGGAGAAAGGTGACCTGGGTTGAATCTGTTGTAGTGCTGTGGCAGCTGAATGCCCACATTTTATCCAACCCAGATTACTGTGCTGTTGTCAAATTCTAAACTTGGTTTAGACTTTGCTCTTTGCACATCTGAATACATTCCATTACTGATGGCGTATTTAAAAGAAATGCGAATGGGAACTGATCACCTGGTAGTGAGAGGACCTTTCACTTACAGCTGAAGAATATCAGCCGAGGAAAGCTACATGATGAGTCCAAGGCCACTAGGAAGGAGGTGGCAGAGCCCAGACACAAACCCAGGAATCAACTGAACAACACTTTTTCCGGGGCAGATGCATCCCATTTGGGAGGTGAGCACACACACTTAACAGGCTGCATAGTCAGCCCCGAGACGGAGCACGGGAACTTGTTTGAAGAGCTCCAACTTGTTGGCATTTCCAGTTCAGAAGTATCAACAGGTAGACATTTAAGATTGTAAGGGTGTGTCCTCCATTCACCCCATCTCAAATGCGGCTGCTATCTTGTAAATTAATTTCCATCTACATAAGTCAGGATGAAAATCAATGTTTTTTTGTGTGTGTTTACTCAAAGCTTTTATTCGCAGGATCACATACAAAAAGGAACCTCAGTAGACTGATTGCAAAGTTGCTTATACATGTCTGTATTTTGATTCTAAATAGATACGATGTCATCAATTTCCACCCTAAATGAGGTGCCTCATGATCCCAGGTCCAGCTACACTTCAACAGTAAAATCACTGCACTGGCTTCAGACAACCACTTTGAATTACAATTTTATCAACACAAGTGCTCCTTTGAATGTGAATGAAAAGTAACAGAAGAGAATACTTATTTTGTTTTATTCTTAAGGCCAGAAAAAACACATTTCCGCCATTTTCATTTTGAGTATCTTAAGACACACTTAAGCACCAACAAATAATCACTTATTTTTCCCTCCTCATAGCATAGCCAACGGCTCACTCAAAGCTTAAATCATTTAAAGCAGCGGCAGTTTACTGTGACGATGCTTTGGCCTAAACTTTCAAAATGAGATCTGAGGCCAATGCAAAGGTAACGTTTTTAAAATCCTGAAATGATCAGAAAAGAATCCCATTCTTCGCTTAAACCACATCAGAACAAAGTAAAACAAAAATACACAAATCACAAGCACAAAGCCAGCCAAACCACAACTTGAAAGAAATAGGGCTTAACATGAATCACCAGATACAGACAATATAATTCTTCAGTTAAAATTAGCTCGAGTTAAATATAACCACATATTGTAAATAAATATACATAGAACTACTTTATAAAAAGACTATATTTAAATACAAAATTAAAGAGCAGAATATTTTATTGTATAACTATGTGCATAGAAAAATTGTCATCAGTGTAACTTTCAATCATTCTTAAATCTCAAGTTAAGTCTTGAAATACAGCCTGCCAGGGGGCCGGCCCTGTGGCATAGCAGGTAGAGCTGCTGCCTGCAGTGCTGGCATCCCTTATGGGTGCCGGTTCGAGTCCTGGCTCCTCCATTTCTGATCCAGCTCTCTGCTATGGCCTGGGAAAGCAGTGGAAGATGGTCCAAGTCCTTGGGCCCCTGTACCTGTGTGGGAGACCGGGAAGAAACTCCTGGCTCCTGCCTTTGGATCAACCCAGCTCTGGCCTTTGCAGCCAATTAGGGAGTGAACCAGCAGAGGGAAGACCTCTTTCTCTCTCTTTCTCTCTCTGCCTCTCCTTCTCTTTCTTTGTAACTCTGACTTTCAAATAAATAAATACATCTTTAAAAAAAAAAAAAACAAAACAAGAAATATAGCCTGCCAGTTCCCATAACCATGGCTTCTCAGCAGGAACACAGTCTGGGAGTGGTAAAGATTTTTTTTTGTTTTTTTGTTTTTTTGTTTTTTTGTTTTTTTTCACTTTGGGAAGCAAACTCATGTTTGATCAACACAGCAAAGAAGACTTCAGAAAAGGAGCAAAAGCTAACGTAGTGGGCCTTTTGATTTCATCTTCACACACTCCTGGGGGAACCTCATTTTGTTCGAGGGTTTCACCAATCCACCTCCAGGGAAACTGACCTCAACTCCAAGGTGGGTCAGGGAAGCAGGAGTTAATCCACCCTCCGTGTTACTCATGAGCGCAGGTATGGACCATGACCCAGCTGGGTCTTCAATCAGACACAAAGAGGGTGTGGTGGAGGTGTCTGGGAAAGTTCTCCCGGTCTGGGACCTCCTCACCTGCTCTTCCCTGTCTGCACTCAGTGAATATTGCATGTCCATCCGCTGACACCAACTCACAGCCCCAAGGGAGCCAAACCTTCAGGAGGACAGCGCATTGGGCAGGGGGACTGCAGAAAGGCAGTGAACTTGGGTCCCCGACAACACAGCGGGGCCATTGGTCTTATCCCTAAGGCAAGTCTACCCCTGAGGGTCCTGTGAGCCGGACTTCCTCCCCATACAAGAACCGTCATTTTGAATTGGGTTTCCTGACACAGCCAGAAACTGATACACTTCTCTTTTCTGGGCAGTCAGGGCTTTTAAACAGGTTATTAGTTCCCAGTTATGGAAGCAAAGTGTCTGTTCCAGGACAATGGATTCACTAGTTCCAAGAACAGAGCGGGAGAGACAAAAGGCTATTTACAGGCACTGGAAATATCAAGGGAAAACAGCCATCAGTACTGAACGATTTTTGAAATATTATTAGACCCATATCGTGCTTAAAGTGCATAGTTAACCGAGCTTAGAGATCTTCTTTTAGTTAATTTATTTCATTATACACAAACATTTTGAAAAAACACAAAGCAAAGAAAAACATGATAGCTACCTGCATAAATTACATCAGGATAATTCAGGTTTGGATCTAAAAAAAGCAAAACACAGAAAAGGCTTGTTAAGTATGCATTTTTGAAGCTTAAAATTACTAACCGATGCAAACAAAAGCACGCTAAATACACATTGAAGGTTTATCATGGAATAGATTGCTTTACAGGACAACAGGTCACTAAGACCTGAAATTCTTGGTGTTCTCCTCAGTCCTCCACCTTTCATCCCTCCAAAAATGGAACAAACAATGAGAAGCCACAAGTCGCTCTGAGAGAACGTCTGAGATTAACAAATCGCTGCCAGTTATTTTATTGGACTGTTTCTATCCTATGGTTGGTCGTTTCCATGGCAATTCTGGTATTTTTCTTACAATTCTGGCATTTTGTGTTAGCCACTGATGGTGTGGCTGGCAATTACTGCCAACCTGTGTGTAGCCAGGCCACTTGCATCCAGGAACAATCTCTCTGCAGAATGTTATTGTGCGGCTTGCCCTTGGGCGAGGAGGGGCTCTACAGCTAAAGGAATTCTCTGTGGCCTTAAAAATGGCACAGAAAAAGAAAATGTACTTTCTCCGTTGAAGTCATTTACACACAAGAGGTTATAAATAAACACAGTGTAAATAAAAGGACACTGACTTAATTTTTTGGATGACTCCAAAGTCACCAAGATGATCAGAATATTCCGCTCAAAGGTATTTCCACAAGATCTGCCAAAAACATTTAAATTAAAAAAAAAAAAAAAAAAAAACAACTCGGCATCAACAAGAACTGGTGACAAAAACATTTACTACTTATTCTCCAATCAGAGCTAAGTGGGTCTCTCCCTGAAAGCAGACTTGGAAAGAAAATTAAATTTTGTTATTACATTTAAGTGATTGCAAAATGAATTTCCAAAGTTATTTCCTATGCTCTTAATCCTCACTCGCCGTGTGAAACAGCGAAACCTGTAAACCATAAAGCTTACTCAGTTTCCATTTCACTTCTGAACTCCTGGCAGAAAAAATGCCATTAAAATAACGCAAAATGAGCCAATGTTCTGCTCATGTGTTCCCCAGTGAACAATCAAGGTTAGTCTAAATGAAGAACCAAATAAAAGTAACCCCAATGTTCAAATTAGAATTTTAACACATTTCAACTACAAGAATATCTATTTTAGCAGAAGAAAAAAATTAAATAATGGAATGTCCACTTTGGGGTATGCATAACGCTTTGCACAACTCTAGGGGGCACCTTTCATGTTGCATCTATGTGACTAGCACCGTGCAGTGCAAACCTACGCAGCCATGTATGATAATTCCAAGTCAAATCATGCAAAGCCACTGATTCCAATAAATCTCACTTGAGTTCTTAGCTTCGTTATCCCAAAAATCCATTTCAAATTAGCTCTGAGTTACAACTGTGTCGGTGTCAGTGGACACTGTCAGAATTATCTGTAGCTGGGATGACCCCTGAGAAGGGACTTGAAGGCTGCTCTGTGGACTGAGGGATGAGTCTGTGAATAAAGTAGCGGGAAGTCCCAGGGAAAAGGGCCCCTAATGTCATTTTCAGGGCACTCACCTGTCCCTGGAGTCCTTTCCCTTTGCAAAGATTCTGGACCAAAGGATGTCCCTTCCGGCATGAGGACTTCCTACCCCTGCTCAAGGAGGCAGGCCATCCCTTGAATCACTCAAGAATCCATTACGTCAGCAGATTTCACCCTGCCCTCTCATCTGTGTCTGGAAGGGGACACGCCCTCCGGAAAGCAGATCCCAATTCTAGACCTCACTGCAGGTCCCTAGGACCCAGAATTCCCTTCCCACACTGCCCAAACCCACCTGCTCGGCCTGCTCAGCCTTTCTCCCAGTCACTCATGAGTAGCCACGTCCCCTGCTGGCCAACTCTCTGACCCCGAGACCCACCGGGAGGGATGAGGATGGAGCTAAGACAGGTGGGCTGGGATGTCCACACACAACCCTGTGAACCCTCTCATTGGACTGTTGGAGTTGCCCGTCAGAGGCCCCGGCCTGGGGCAGCTCCACCAAGATCACAATGTTCTTGCATGGAATTCCATGAGTCTGAGAATTGTAACTCCAAACCCAGCCTTTTAGGTCACTACAGACATACATGTCAAGTAGGAAGAGAGAAACTATTTTATTTCACAATTTATTAACTTGACTTAAAATTTTAAGTATTTGGCTAAAAGTAAGCAGAACCAAACTTCGTCAAAGGCACTCAACATCCCAGATGGGCTGGAATAGAGGGGGTCCTGGAGACTCTGGGTTTTGAGTTTTAAAACTGGGGACAGCAAGGCTGGTGCTGTGATATAGCAGGTTACGCCACCATCTGCAGAGCCAGTATTCCATATGGGCGCTGGTTGGAGTCCCGACTGATCCACTTCCATTCCAGCTCCCTGCTAATGCCCCTGGGAAAGCAGTGGAAGATGGCCCAAGTCCTTGAGTCCCTACCACCCTTCTGGGAGACACGGAAGAAGCTCCTGGCTCCTGGCTTTGGCCTGGCTATTGTGGCCATCTGGAGAGTGAATCAATGAATGGAAGATTCTCTCTCTCTCTCTCTCAACCCCTCCCTTCCTCCCTCTCTCTCTGTAATTCTGCCTTTCATATAAATAAATAAAATATTTTTAAAAAAACCCTCATGTGCGACATAGACCTGCCATCACCACATGTGACTACATACACTGTTTCACAGGACGCAAAGGCAGGATTCAGAGCCTGATTTATCTCAGCCACATCTTTAAACGGCCTCGTGAATATGAATGACATGGAGGTTTAAGCTGCCTCAGCACAGACAAGGAACACCCAAACACACTTCCCACACAGAGGCCCCGGCAAGATCCAAGAATACGAAATCAACCCAGTAGAGCAAATTGCTGGGTGCAGAAAAATGGGGTCGGGAAAGGATCAAAACCAAATAGGTCAGACGAACATCTAGAAAACAGGAACTTGGCAGGCTGACAATCCCTACCAAAGCGTGCCTTTCGTCCGAAGTTCACCAGCAGACTCAGGAAGCCACATCAAAAGTTTCCGAAAAGCACGATTTTTTCCTAACTTCATTCCCCCAGCTGCACGAGAAGCACTGTAACTTTCCTTCCATTGTCAGGGAGAACTAAATTTAGGGTAAGATTATGAAACTCACAGAAAGACAATGTGGGAGGAACAATAATGGGATTTTTTTTTTCCTCCCAAGCAGACTGCACCACGTCTGGCAGCGGTGTCCCTGCCTCTCCGTGTGCACAGGTTCAGAAGCCTGCAAATGGAAGAGGTGCTGATTTAGTCTACACCAAACAGGAGTCCCTTCCTGCAGCTGATCCAGCCCATGGAGAACAGTGTTTTGTTTCTAGCCAACTTCCTAGCCAAGCAAAATCTCGCGTGATGGGTGCACTCCAATGATGCAGCAATTATTAGCATCATTTTAAATGCAGACACAGAAAAAGAAATGACCACCTCCTGTTTAGATCAAATTTTGAAAATATCCTGCCATGTTCAAGTCTAATTTTGCACTGGTTCCTTTTACCTAGTTTAAAGGCATTCATTATATACTATTACATATTATTATATGCTAAACTTCGGCACCTCTGTTTGAGATATTCAGTGCTAAATAGGAAATGAAGACAAGCACCTGCTACGAGGCTGTGAGGGACAAAGTCCAACCAAAATGAAGAGAAATGAGTGCCATCCACCTTCAGTCACACCCATGCAGTGGGGACTTGAAAAGGGACCTTACCCTGCTAGTGCTCATCAAGAAATGCATGTTAGCTGTCAGCAGTAAGAGCTGACATCAAACCTCTAAGGCTTCAGATTGGGAATCTCTGTGGGACAACGTATGGAAATCTGAGACCCCCCACTCCACCCACCCACATGCAAACAGCAGCTACAACCCCACCCCCAACCATGGGCAGACAGAGGCCAAATATTTTTTTTTCTTCAAAGTCAGAGTTACAAAGAGAGAGGAGAAGCAGAGAGAAAGACAGTCCCCAAAATAATATTTTAAAAGCTATCTATCTATACCAAAAATAGAACTAATTAAAATTTCAGTCTAGGGGGCCGGCGCCGAGGCTCACTTGGCTAATCCTCCACCTGCGGCACTGGTACCTGGGGTTCTAGTCCCGGTTGGGGTGCCGGATTCTGTCCCAGTTGCTCCTCTTCCATTCCAGCTCTCTGCTGTGGCCCGGGAGTGCAGTGGAGGATGGCCCACTTGGGCCCTGCACCCACATAGGAGACCAGGAGGAAATACCTGGCTCCTGGCTTCAGATCGGCGCTGTGCACCAGCCGTAGTGGCCATTTGGGGGCTGAACCAACGGAAGGAAGACCTTTCTCTCTGTCTCTCTCTCTCTCTCACTGTCTAACTATGCCGTCAAAAAAAAATTAGTCTAAGGGCCAACACTGTGGTGCAGTGGGTTAACGAAGCACCAGCATCCCATATGGGTGCCGGTTTGAGGTCTGGCTGCTCCACTTCCGATCCAGCTCTCTGCTATGGCCTGGGAAAGAAGTGGAAGATGGCCCACATCCTTGAGCCCCTGAACCCATGTGGGGAGACCCAGAAGAAGCTCCTGGCTCCTGGCTTTGAATGAGCTGAGCTCCAGCTGTTGCAGCCATTTGGGGAGTGAACCAGTGGATGGAAGATCTCTGTCTCTATGTAATTCTGCCTATCAAATAAATAAGTCCTTAAAAACAAGAAAGATAAAAATTCTCATCCTCTTAACTCCATTTATGTTAAATAACCTAAAGAGAGGGTCTTTTTATTTCCAACTTCTAACCTGAGTTAGAGCTCATGGGTAAATTTTGTGATCCTATGTAAATTATCTTGAGTAGAGCCTTGATTTTTTTAACTGAACAACTCTCTAGTCAAAGGAAAACCACATTTATAACCTAGGAAAATAAATTTAGGGAAGGGAGGTAGCCGGCCAGTAGGGTGCATCTTCTATTTTGCCACCGAGATTAATATAATGGTGGCTGCCAGGAAGACACCTCTGTCTCCTCCCTTTAAGCTTTTTGTCTCCCTCCATCACCTTAAAAATAAACAGAAAGAAGACATTTCTCGC